GGAACCACCTCAATGGCAGTGTGTTTGGTTTGGTTAGATGATGCCATCACCCACTAGACCAAGACACTAGAAACACACCTGTAGCTAAATAAGTTGGGTTTCTTTCTTGTTGCAGAGAGAACATACACCATGAGAAACCATGGAGTGTCTCCATAAGAAACTATTGTAAGAGTGGGTGATTTAGAGATGGGTATAAAAAATAAGGGTTCTCTCTAAGTTGGCTATCAGAAAACAGGGATAATCCTACAGTTGGGTAATGTATGGGTGGCAGAGTAGCAATTCTAAGAATTGCTTGGAAAACATTATGTAGGAGCCTTGTTTGTTTCATGTTACATGGTCTCAGATCAGCATTGTCTGAAGTTGATACTCTATGAATTTGCTTATATCCAACAGGAGAACAAAATGACCTGGCTGTGAGCATCAGACTGACTTGTAAAAATACTGATGTCAGATTAATTCTGAACATCAAGAGCTGTTTTTCTTCTTTCCTAATAATGAATAAAAGTGGTATGACATGAAATTAAAAGTAAAACTTAAATCTCGTCCACATCTAAATCTTGATAATTTTTTACCAACTTCTTTTAGCAAAATGTCTCTAGTGATAAAGTATTTATGTTAAGAACAACAAAAGATTGGTTAAACTGATTGAATGCAACTAGTCAAAAAAAAAAAAAAAAAAAAAACTCACTGCTGTTGAGTCAGTGACCCCTCTTGGGTTTCCAAAGTGGTATCTCTATGAAAGTAGATTGCCCAGTCTTCCTTCTGAGGCATGGCTGGTGGGTTTGAATTGCCAGCCTTCTGGTTAGAAGTCAAATGCCTTGGTTACTACACCATCCCAGAATTTCAAAACATACCTACTTACTTATTTATTCAGAATAAATTCACTATATGTGCACTGTCAGACATCCAGGCTGAGACATCTAGAGCAATTTGAGAAAAAAACTTCATTTATATGAGTTTAATTTTTTGAGTGGGCTCTAACCCAAAATAGGCAATTGAGTTATTTGGATAAAATGTGTGCATTTGCAACAATCAACATGTTTCAGTCTGATCATTTACATTGTTTTTGGATAGAGCTTTCTATGGGATATTCTAACATTTTAAAAATTGACTAGTTTCTGTTTGCTTTCCTGAATTATTGTTCCCAAGAGTCAGTAGCTAGTGCACAGACTTTGTCTTATTTATGTCTTTACCTCCAGCACCTAACAGAGTTCCCAACATAAAATATATCAATACACATCTATTGGAAAGTGAGGGGAAGGGAAGGAAAAGCCAGGGGACCACAGCACAGCAAGCAGTGGCAGGGATCCAGGTAAGGGAAGGGACCCAGGCCCACCCCCAAGTGGCAGGAAAATGGGGGAAAAGAAAGAAAAGCCAGGAGGACCATGACAGAGTGAGCAACAGCAGGGATCCAGGTAAGGGGAGGGACCCAGGCCCCATCCCCAAGAGGCAGGAAAGTGGGGGAAAGGAAAGAAAAACCAGGGGAACCATGATAGAGTGAGCAGCAGCATTGATCCAGGTAAGGGG